CCTTTTCCGGGAACACCAACGTCTTCACAAACTTAAGCACCAAAACACTAAATAACGGCACAAAACACCTAATAATCGTCCTGTCGTAAAAATCTATTTGTTCCCACTATCAAATTACACAGTAAAAATAACGCTTCAGGCGAAAAGTATTACAAAAATAAATATACGGAGCACCTCGTTTCCGATGCGCACGCGACGGCGATCCGCGACGTAGTAGTAGTAGTCGAAGGGACAAATCCCACCAACCACCCATGGCCTGGCGAACCTTCTTGGTTATGCAGGCCGAAGCAGCGGGAGATACGCGCGGAATGGCCTCCACCGCGCGTACTTTCTTGACTCCCTACAAATTGTTCTTTATCTGTCTCCTTTGTCCCTATGGTCCCTCTCCCCTTTCTGGGGCGGACGCACACGAAACGCCTTCGTCGCAAATTCCAGCCGTCCCGTGCCCACTATGAAGTGGTACCGCTAGCCTCCAGTATTGCTCCCTGTCTTCTTTCTTCGCCTCCTTCGAGTCCACTCCGAATCCTGTGCCATCTACGCGCGAAGTCCCGTAGCCGCCTGAAGTTCGCCTCCGATCCCACAAGGTCGCGATAGTAGACCGGCCCAACCTCGAGCACCTTCACACCATCAAGAAGTTCCCTACGCGCCTCCCGGTAGAGCTTACACTCCCACAGAGCGTGGTATGCGTCCTCTACTACTCCCTCCCCACAGTAGCACGACCCCATCTCCGCGAGCTTCATTCTGTGAAGCCTACCCCTGAAACAGCCGTGTCCCGTCAGCAGCTGCGAGGTTTCGTAGTCAGGCTCGACCCAAGTAAACTTGAGTCGGGCCTCCACTTCCGGGAAAAACCGATATAGCTCCCTCCCCTGTTCCGACGTGTCCCAACGTCTCTGCCATTCGGCATTGACGGACTCAGTAACCCTGAGTTTGGCGCTCCGAAGCTCTTCAACGGTAACCGCGGACTCGCGTGCATCACCTAGTCTGCCTGCCCGAGTTACCTCGAGGTCGGCCGGTAAGACGCCAGCCAAGACCGGCAAAGCGACAGAGCTCGTCGACCGGTACGCCTTGGTCAGAAGGATCAAGGCGGGTCTCTGGGTGCGCAAAAGCGCACTACGCACAACGTGAAGGGACGCACGCTCATACCAACATGCCGCAGCATACGTCACCGTGGCGATGTAAGTGCCTCGGTACAAAACCTTTAAGGCCTTGTACCGAACTCCCCAAGAGGCCGCCGATACTCTCGACATCTTGCCGAAGCAATTTGCCGCCCTCTCCCCTATCGACGCCGCATGCTGCGCGAACGAGAGACTCGAGTCGACCGCCACACCCAGCACAGTGGTCGACGTCACGCTCCTGATAGACGTCCCCCCGAAGCGGATGGTGGGTGGCCGCTGGAATTTTCCCCTGATCGTCATAGTTACAGACTTTGCAGGAGAGAAGTCCAGCCTATTACGGGCCCCCCACTCACCGACGAGCTGCAAAACCGTAGAGGCCGTGGCCTCTATGCTCGCCCGGGATCCGGATTCTATCAAGATCGTGACGTCGTCGGCGTACGCCACCATGCTTACCCCCCCGGGTAATGGCAGTCGAAGCAAGTCGTCCATGAGCACGTTCCAGAGCGTAGGTCCCAACACCGATCCCTGCGGGCAACCCATCGTCGCCGCCTTCCACACTACCCGATCACCCACGAACAAGCCCACGCGGCGATTGGCGAAGTAGTCCGTCAACATCCTAAAGATGTTAGGCGGACATCCCCCGCGTTTCACCTTGAGCAAGATCATGGGCCACCAAGCATTATCAAAGGCCCCAGAGATATCCAAAAATACCGCTTGAACATACTTCAACGAGCTCTCTCTAGCCACCCTAAAGATTTCCTTCAGGGCAGTTACCGTCGACCGGCCCCGAGTGAACCCGTGCTGGCAGTCCGATAACCCCCTGGTAATTTGCGGTGCACACCTTAGCATTACGCGTTCCAAAATCTTACCAAAGATCGGCAACAAAGTGACGGGGCGATACGCTTTCGGGTCGGAAAGCTGCCTGTCGTTCCCTTTCGGGAGGACAATCAGCCTGCCGTCCTTCCACGTATCAGGAAATCGTCCCTCCTGGACACATCGCCTAAGCATTTCAGTAAATTCCACCGGCGCGGCTGCCCAAACGTGTTTGATAATGCGAGCGGAGACCCCATCGATACCCGGTGCAGTGTTCGGCAAGTCCTTGACTATTCCCGCGACCACGCTGTCGGTTGGAGGCGGCGCATCTTCTCCTGAGGGTGTGAACGAGGCCAGTAAGCGCACTTGCCGGTGATACTCGCTGTCCTTAGACACATCGTCGTCCGGACAGAGAGCATACATAAGGCTGTGTATGGCCTCGTCCACACTCCCAGCATATCCTTCGGCAAACTTTGTGCCATTGATTACGTTACGGGGAGGCCTAGACCTCCCACTCGCGGCTCGGTAGGCCTGTCCCCAAGGGTCCAGGTTTCCGGAATCAGCGATTTTTCTAAAGTGCAAAAGTTGCGCCTCCTCCATGGCCGCCCTATACCTACGCCTATGCACATGAAAGCGTCCTCTGGCCTCCGCCTCAACCAGGCCGCCGGCCCGGCGAGTGGACTGCCAGGCTCGTCTCAACTTATTGTTGAGGTAACGCATCCGATCGAGCTCGGGCGTCCACCAATCATGCCCCGAGTCCGAATTCCTATTTTTAGCCACCCCCAGCGTCTGCTTCGCGGTGCTCATAACAAGAGCTGCGAATTGAGCACAGACAGCTGAGGCGGGACGCTTCCACTTAATGTTACCCACCCGCCCATGGATCCGACGCTCAAAGAGAGGCCAGTCCACACCGCGATCCCTGAGTCTCGGAAGCTCTTCTAGCAGCCCAGCGCGTGGAGTGCTCGTACTTGCCAGGTCAAACGTAATGAGCCGGTGGTCGCTCTCAATTTTATCCTCCCACACTCTCCATCCCGTTGCCGGGACGCCTCTAGTTGTTAGTGTGAGGTCGATGTTAGACGATCCGTTCGCAGTGGCGAAGGTCGAGGGTTCACCCTCCCTGTTAACCAACTGCAGGCCTCGAGCCAGGATAAACGCCTCCATGGATTCACGGCGATGCGTGACGTCTGGCCCACGTCCAGTGTACTGCCGCGGTTCACAGTACCACATCGGAGAGTGCGCATTGGAATCTACCCCTATTACGACCTTCTTCCCCTTCAGGGAATCCAGGACCCTGCCCAACTGCTCCAAATGCATATTTATGTCGTCGCTGTACTGAAAGTACGCGGACACCACGTAAAATCCCTCTTCGTCGGTTAGTAAATGACACACGATACAGTGCGTAGTCGACAGATGTTGCAAGAGGGCACATGGGAGGTCCCGACGACGGACATAAACGCCTGCCTTCGGTCGTGCGCCGCACTGCAGAAAACTGCTCGCGGCGTTCAAGTCGGGTCCAGGGTAATGCTCCTGAACCAGAACGACGTCTAGACCCAACTCCTCAGCGACTCTTGGTAGTTCCAGTGTGGCAAGCTCTGCCCCCGCCAAGTTTATTTGGCCGACTGTACACTTTGTTGGAGCCATTAGTATGCCGTTATTTCCACCATCCTCCGTTCAGCATGTATTCTTGCGGGGCAGTCCCTGGCCCCCGTTAGGTGAGAATCGGCCCCCTTTTGGCCAAACTTGTGGCATGTGGCACACCTAGGATGTTCCCGCGAACATGCTTCCGCTGTGTGTCCTATTGCTCCGCACTTGGTGCAAGTTTGTCCCTCCTGCTTGCATCTTTTGTCGCTGTGACCGTACATGCAACACTTGCCGCAGCACATAGCTGTCGTGAAATCTTCCACCCGACAGATCTCCCATCCTATGTACAGTCGACCCCTTGTAACTAACGCCTTCCTCATTTCTGGGGTACAAGAAATCACCATCGCTGAGTGTGGTGAACCCCTCCGACTCTTCCGAAAGGCTAGCCTTCCCTGGCTCTTAAAGGCTTCGAGAGTCCACTTTTCATCATTTTCAAAGTTTTGTTTATGTACCATTTTAATTATATCCTCATATGATGGATCCTTGCCTTCAAGGTCCCTGATGACCACCAATGGTTCCCTCCCTTTCAAATCACTAGCCCTGACTGTGTTTGGTAGAGCCGCCTTTATTTTGTTGATGTCCTCCTTCGTTCGCACCTGGACAACCACTCCTGCGTTCCCCACCTTTCGGACTCGGTTAACATTAATGTTAAGTTGTGCGGGGGCTATGGAGGTCTTAAGTGCCGCCTTAGTCTCCTCTGAGTTTTTGATAGCTGACCCCTCCACTGGATAAATCGCCACCACAGGGCCCGACGGTATCCCGGAGCGCAACTTGCCCGCGTACGAAGCTGGTCCACTCGCCTCCTCTGTAGTGCGGCTGCGAATGGCTGCCGTGGCTGCTGCCGTGGCCGCCTCAACCGCCCGAGATGCTGCCGATGCTGCTTCCGCACGTGCCGCTACAGCCTCAGCTTGCGCTCTGTACGCCCTCTCCTTTTCTCGTTCCCATGCATCATTCATGGCGTCCACCTTTGTTCTCGCGCAACTCACCTCCTTACGGCCCTCCTCCGCAACGAGCCCCAAGTGCGCCACGATCTCCATAATCGCCGACAAGTTTTCATTAATTTTGGCCAGATCAGTCTTGTTTAGCCTCGAACTGGCACCCCCGACGATGAGTGATATAGCCCGAGACGCCGCATTAGCGCCTGCCAGAAGCTGTCTTGAGGTGGCCCTGGAAAAATCCGATATCTCACCTGTCGCACCCTCGGACTCCTCCTCACTCGAGCAAGGTGTTCTATAATCCGACACCGTATGCTGGTCCCCCACCTTTGTTTGTTGTCGCCGCTTCGGATGGGTTACCTTCGTCCACTGATCCGGTGACAACAGCCGCTTCGCCGACTCCCTGGTAGGTATCGGCGTCTTCGGGGTCGGCGCAGGAGGCGGAGGTGAAGGCCCCGGCGACAGCGATGCCATGACAGCATCGTACACGGCCGACGAAATATCCGCCGCCGACTCCATTATGGTCCTATATTGCGGTGGGCTCGGTGTCCTCGGTGGGACGTCCTGCGATCTACCGCCAGGAGGGGTCCTCTGTAAGGACGCCCGAGGTCTAAACACGTTAGGAGGGGGCTTTCCCCCTTCCGAGCTACTCATTGTCTATACACTCCAAGTTTGAACATGCACGAAAAATTTCCCCGAATTTAGGAAGAAATTTCCCAATTGGCAACACTTTCTTACTGTTCTGCGTAGCCCCGAACGCAAGTGTCTAAAAACTACACTGACGTATCAGACGTCACTGTCTACTTGACAGACAGACGTCACTGTCTGCTTGACAGACAGACGTCAATGCTTGACAGACGTCACCTGGGCGTGTCTACCCACAATTATTATAAAAGTTCACGTCCTACCTACAAATTACAAATAAAATTTTAAAAAGGGGGTAGGCGACCGCGTGGTCCTAACCTAAAAGCACGTGGAAATACCACGTGCTGTCTAACCTACAAACTACAAGATAAAACTAATTAAATCTACACTAATTACTGAGAAAGTCACTGTCTTTACTTACAACTAAGCAATATAAATAGGGTACTCCCTGAATTTGCCCGTATCCCGCCTCCAGGCAGGCGAAAACAGGCACCTCTCGGGACTCGCACCAACGTCTTGCAAACTAAGCACTAAACACTAAATAACTGCACAAAACACTTATTATTCGTCCTGTCGATAAAATCTAGTTATTCACACTATCTAATAGCACAATAATATAACCTTTCAGGCACTGAAAGTAGCTCTGAAACAAGTAATAGAAATTTCAAAGCGCGGAGCACTACGTAAACGGTGCGCACACGACGGCGGTCCGCGACGAAGTCGAAGGGACAAATCCCACCAACCACCCATGGCCTGACGAACCTTCTTGGTTATGCAGGCCGAAGCAACGGGAGATACGCGCGGAATGGCCTCCACCGCGCGTACTTTCTTGACTCCCTACAAATTATTCTTTATCTATCTCCTTGTCCCTATGGTCCCTCTCCCCTTTCTGGGGCGGACGAACACGAAACGCCTTCGTCGCCAATCCCAGCCGTCCCGTGCCCACTCTGAAGTGGTACCGCTGGCTCCAAGTTAAATGGTCCTCTTCTTTCTTCGCCTCGGGTCTTCTCTCTTCACCTCTCGAGTCCACTCCGAATCCTGTGCCATCTACGCGCGAAATCCCGCAGCCGCCTGAAGTTCGCCTCCGATCCTACAAGGTCACGGTAGTAGACCGGCCCAACCTCGAGCACCTTCACACTGTCCAGAAGTTCCCTACGCGCCTCCCCGTAGAGCTTACACTCCCACAGAGCGTGGTATGCGTCCTCTACTTCTCCCTCCCCGCAGTAGCACGAACCCACCTCCGCGAGCTTCATTCTGTGAAGCCTACCCCTGAAACAGCCGTGTCCCGTCAACAGTTGCGAAGTTTCATAGTCAGGCTCGACCCAAGTATACTTGAGTCGGGCCTCCACTTCCGGGAAAAACCGATATAGTTCCCTCCCCTGTTCCGATGTGTCCCAACGTCTCTGCCATTCGGCATTGACGGACTCAGTTATTCTGAGTTTGGCGCTCCGAAGCTCCTCGATGGTAACCGCGGCCTCGCGTGCATCGCCTAGTCTGCCTACCCGAGTTACCTCGAGGTCGGCCGGTAAGACGCCAGCCAAGACCGGCAGAGCGACAGAACTCGTCGACCGGTACGCCTTGGTCAGAAGGATCAAGGCGGGTCTCTGGGTGCGCAAAAGCGCACTACGCACAACGTGGAGGGACGCGCGCTCATACCAACATGCCGCAGCATACGTCACCGTGGCGATGTAAGTGCCTCGGTACAAGACCTTCAAGGCCTTGTACCGAACTCCCCAAGAAGCCGCCGATACTCTCGACATCTTGCCGAAGCAATTTGCCGCCCTCTCCCCTATCGACGCCGCATGCTGCGCGAACGAGAGACTCGAGTCCACCGCCACACCCAACACGGTGGTCGACGTCACGCTCCTGATGGAATTCCCCCCGAACCGGATGATGGGTGGCCGCTGGAATTTCCCCCTGATCGTCATGGTAACAGACTTTGCAGGAGAGAAGTCCAGCCTATTACGGGCCCCCCATTCACCGACGAGCTGCAAAACCGTAGAGGCCGTGGCCTCTATGCTCGCCCGGGCTCCGGATTCAATCAGGATCGTGACGTCGTCGGCGTACGCCACCATGCTTACCCCCCCGGGTAGTGGCAGTCGAAGCAAGTCGTCCATCAGCACGTTCCAGAGCGTTGGTCCCAACACCGATCCCTGCGGGCAACCCATCGTTGCCGCCTTCCACACTACCCGATCACCCACGAACAAGCCCACACGGCGATTGACGAAGTAATCCGCCAACATCCTAAAGATGTTAGGCGGACATCCTCCGCGTTTCACCTTGAGCAGGATCATGGGCCACCAAGCATTATCAAAGGCCCCAGAGATATCCAAAAATACCGCTTGAACATACTTCGACGTGCTCTCTCTGGCCACCCTAAAGATCTCCTTCAGGGCGGACACCGTCGACCGACCCCGAGTGAACCCGTGCTGGCAGTCCGATAGACCTCTGGTTATTTGCGGTGCACACCGTAACATTACGCGTTCTAAGATTTTACCAAAGATCGGCAACAAAGTGACGGGGCGATACGCTTTTGGGTCGGAAAGCTGCCTGTCGTTCCCTTTCGGGAGGACAATCAACCTGCCGTCCTTCCACGTATCAGGAAATCGTCCCTCTTGAACACATCGCCTATACACTTCTGTAAATTCAACCGGCGCGGCTGCCCAAACGTGTCTGATGATACGAGCGGAGATCCCATCGATACCCGGTGCAGTGTTCGGCAAGTCCTTGACTATCTCTGCAACTACGCTGTCGGTTGGAGGCCGCGCATCTTCTCCTGAGGGTATGAGCGAGGCTACTAACCGCACTTGCCTGTGGTACTCGCTGTCCTTAGACACATCGTCGTCCGGACAGAGAGCATACATGAGGCTGTGCATAGCCTCGCTCACGCTCCCAGCATATCCTTCGGCGAACTTTGTGCCATTGATTACGTTACGGGGAGGCCTAGACCTCCCACTCGCGGCTCGGTAGGCCTGTCCCCAAGGGTTCAGGTTTCCGGAATCTGCGATCTTTCTAAAATGCAAAAGTTGCGCCTCCTCCATGGCCGCCCTATACCTACGCCTATGCACATGGAAGCGCCCCCTGGCCTCCTCCTCAACCAGGCCACCGGCGCGGCGAGTCGATTGCCAGACTCGTCTCAACTTATTGTTGAGATGACGCAGCCGATCAAGCTCGGGCGTCCACCAATCGAAGTCGAAGGGACAAATCCCACCAACCACCCATGGCCTGGCGAACCTTCTTGGTTATGCAGGCCGAAGCAGCGGGAGATACGCGCGGAATGGCCTCCACCGCGCGTACTTTCTTGACTCCCTACAAATTATTCTTTTCTATGTCCTTGTCCCTAAGGTCCCTCTCCCCTTTCTGGGGCGGACGAACACGAAACGCCTTCGTCGCCATCCCAGCCGTCCCGTGCCCACTATGTAGTGGTACCGCTAGCCTCCATTTACTATACCTCCAATAGTGCTCCCTGTCTTCTTTCTTCACCTCCCTCGAGTCCACTCCGAATCCTGTGCCATCTACGCGCGAAATCCCGTAGCTGCCTGAAGTTCGCCTCCGATTCCACAAGGTCGCGATAGTAGACCGGCCCAACCTCGAGCACCTTCACACTGTTAAGAAGTTCCCTACGCGCCTCCCCGTAGAGCTTACACTCCCACAGAGCGTGGTATGCGTCCTCTACTACTCCCTCCCCACAGTAGCACGACCCCACCTCCGCGAGCTTCATTCTGTGAAGCCTACCCCTGAAACAGCCGTGTCCCGTCAGCAGTTGCGAGGTTTCGTAGTCAGGCTCGACCCAAGTGAACTTGAGTCGGGCCTCCACTTCCGGGAAAAACCGATATAGTTCCCTCCCCTGTTCCGACGTGTCCCAACGTCTCTGCCATTCAGCATTGACGGACTCAGTGATCCTGAGTTTGGCGCTCCGAAGCTCCTCAATGGTATCCGCGGACTCGCGTGCATCACCTAGTCTGCCTGCCCGAGTTACCTCGAGGTCGGCCGGTAAAACACCAGCCAAGACCGGCAAAGCGACAGAGCTCGTCGACCGGTACGCCTTGGTCAGAAGGATCAAGGCGGGTCTCTGGGTGCGCAAAAGCGCACTACGCACAACGTGAAGGGACGCGCGCTCGTACCAACATGCTGCAGCATACGTCACCGTGGCGATGTAAGTGCCGCGGTACAAAACCTTTAAGGCCTTGTACCGAACTCCCCAAGAAGCCGCCGATACTCTCGACATTTTGCCGAAGCAATTTGCCGCCCTCTCCCCTATCGACGCCGCATGCTGCGCGAACGAGAGACTCGAGTCGACCGCCACACCCAACACAGTGGCCGACGTCACGCTCCTGATGGAAGTCCCCCCGAAGCGGATGGTGGGTGGCCGCTGGAATTTTCCCCTGATCGTCATAGTTGCAGATCGTCTGTCGTTCCCTTTCGGGAGGACAATCAACCTGCCGTCCTTCCACGTATCAGGAAATCGTCCCTCTTGAACACATCGCCTATACACTTCTGTAAATTCAACCGGCGCGGCTGCCCAAACGTGTCTGATGATACGAGCGGAGATCCCATCGATACCCGGTGCAGTGTTCGGCAAGTCCTTGACTATCTCTGCAACTACGCTGTCGGTTGGAGGCCGCGCATCTTCTCCTGAGGGTATGAGCGAGGCTACTAACCGCACTTGCCTGTGGTACTCGCTGTCCTTAGACACATCGTCGTCCGGACAGAGAGCATACATGAGGCTGTGCATAGCCTCGCTCACGCTCCCAGCATATCCTTCGGCGAACTTTGTGCCATTGATTACGTTACGGGGAGGCCTAGACCTCCCACTCGCGGCTCGGTAGGCCTGTCCCCAAGGGTTCAGGTTTCCGGAATCTGCGATCTTTCTAAAATGCAAAAGTTGCGCCTCCTCCATGGCCGCCCTATACCTACGCCTATGCACATGGAAGCGCCCCCTGGCCTCCTCCTCAACCAGGCCACCGGCGCGGCGAGTCGATTGCCAGACTCGTCTCAACTTATTGTTGAGATGACGCAGCCGATCAAGCTCGGGCGTCCACCAATCGAAGTCGAAGGGACAGTGGGAATCTCGTTAATCCATTCATGCGCGTCACTAATTAGATGACAAGGCATTTGGCTACCATAAGAGAGTCATAGTTACTCCCGCCGCAGTCTCTCGCCCCCGTGGCGTGAGTAGCTGCACCATTCTGCCCGAAGCGATGACAGCTCACACACCGCTCGTTCTCAGCTTTGCAGTCCACCGCCTTGTGGCCTGCAACACCGCACCTTGAGCACGTTGTCTCATTCTGATGGCACCTCTTCTCGTTGTGGCCTCCACCATGCTCCGTAGCCAGAGGGCTCCGCATCCCAGCGCCGCAATGAGCTCGCGGCGCTGGTGTCGCCAGGCCGGGCACTCCAACAAGGTGTGCTCGGCCGTGTCGTCTGGGGCGCCGCAATGATGACATTGGGACGTCTCCTCCCGACGTGCGACACGGTGCAGATAGTGGCCGAAGCATCCATGCCCGATCAAGATCTGCACCATGCGGAACGTGAGGCCGCCGCGCCGGCAACCCAACCATTCCTCCAACACCGGACGAATGGCTTCAATCGTCCGGTGGCCGGCGCTAACATGGGCGAGTGCCTCATCCCGGACGGACGAACGGACTGCCTCAGCTCTGCTGGGCCCGGGTCGCGATGATCCTCTGCGGACGTCGCAAGAGGGCCCTTGTGCGGGGTTTGAGGCACTCAGCCCAAACCGGAGCTCCGTAAAGTGCCATCGATCGTATCACCCCGTGATACAGTCGACGGCACGCATCACCTGGTCCCCCCACGTTCGGGAGGACCCTGCCAAGTGCGGCTGCATCGGCACACAGCCGTGGAGTGAGGAGCTTAAAATGCTCCTCAAAACTCCATCGGGTATCCAATACCAGGCCGAGGCACTTCATACTTCCCTCGACCGGTATTCGGACCCCCTCCACCTGGATACGGAGCCCCGGAGGGGTGCTACGACGTGGGCCATGGAACATCATGGCCCTCGATTTGTCGAGGGCCATTTCCAGGCCCAGGAGGTGGATGCGTCGGACGACCATCGAGGCTGCCTCGCAGCACCCAATTGTACCCCAGGTTCCAGAGCAGTGGACCAAGGACTGAACCCTGGGGCACACCTGCGGCCATGGCCCGCGAACGGATGCGCCCGTCAGGCCCCTCGTAGAGGACCACCCTGCCTTGTAGGTAGTCCTCTACGATGGCGCACAGGTATGGAGGCACTCGATGAAACCTTAGTGCCTCCATGATACACTCGTGGGGGAGGCTGTTAAATGCGTTGCAGATGTCTAACGACACCGCAATGACAGCCTCACCCCGCGCAGTGGCCGCCTCGGTCCACCCCTTTAAACGGGCCACCGCCTCCATAGTGGACCTGTTGCACCTGAACCTGAACTGGCGTTCGACCAGATTCGGGCCCGGCCCCTCCAGGTGCTCGACGATTCTGACATCCAGGACCTTCTCTAGGAATTTCCCAGCATCGTCGAGCACCACTATTGGCCTATACCCTGAAAGGGAGTCTTCTGGGCGGCCGTCCTTTCTCAGGAGGACTAGCCGCCCCTGTTTCCACCTGGGGAAGCGGCCCGCGCCGATGCTGAGATTCAGCACCGCCAAGAACCGCTGCTTTAGGGGTCCCAGTGCTAGGGCCAGAACCTTGGGTGGAACCCCGTCCGGCCCGGGTGCCTTCTTTTTGGCCCGGAGCCTGTCCTTCACCGCATTGAACTCTGCGTCCAACACGGAGGGGGGAGGCGGGATCGGCTCCTCAGCAGGGCCCCCAGGAGGGAGCATTCTTGGGGGCTGGAACGGCCCCGGGTCGGGGAAGAGAGTCCCCAGTACCCGGTCAAGTAGCCCCTCCTCCAAGGCCGAGGTGGGGGGAGCATTCGCTGAGAATTTCCCCCGCACCACCCTGTAGGGCCGCCCCCAGGGGTCATGGTCTAGGAGAGCTATGAAGCTCTCCCAGGATGCCCTCTTGGCCGTTATGATGGCCACCCTCAAGGCCCTCTTGGCCTCCTTGTACACCCGACGACATTCCGCCTCGTCGTCGGGTGTGCTTGAGGCGGGCCTATGGCACCTTAAATAGGTGCGCCTTGCCCTCATACTGGTGGTCCGCTATCTCCTACGTCCACCGGTACGTCTGCCCCCTCCTGGGGCAGACCCGTGCCCTTGGCATGGCGGCTTCGCAGACGACCTTAATGTCGTCTGCAAATAGCTCCGCTATGCCGTCAAAATCCCCGGCGAGGTGGGAGGGCGCATCGGCCCACGCCCGCACTATCGCCGCCTCCGCCACCAGTTCGGGGCGGAGAATCGTATCTTGTGAACGCGCTCACGGCGGGGCCATCGGTCTTGCGGGCCCCGCGGGATGTTGAGGAGACCCGGTATCTGACATATAAATGGTCAGATAGGGTCTCCTTCTCCTCCACATGCCAGCCTGATATACGGCTGGCTAAGAAGGGGGTGGCGAAGGTAACGTCGACCCGCGACGTACCGTTCCACCGGATACAGGTGGGGGCCGTGCCCACATTGAGGATCTGGAGCCCCAGGGACAGAACCCAAAACTCCAGATCTTCACCCTTTAAATTCGTGGCGGATGACCCCCACGCCGTAGACTTGGCGTTGAGATCCCCCGCCAGGAGGACCGTAATGTAGTAGGGCTCCGCCACGATCACCAATCCCACGTTCCACTCCGACGCTGACTGGCGCATTAGTTCCTGCGCCGCGTTGCAGTGGTTCACATTGATTTGGAGGAGTTCAATGGACGTGCTTGGCATTGCTCGTATCTATAGACTCCTCCGTCGCCTCCGCCGGTGAAGATGTTGGCGGAGGCATAGGTCGTGGGACCTCGGCTGCTGTGGCCCGTGTTAGTCGGGCTTTGACCGCGGGGGGGTTGCATTTTCTCCCTCCCATGCGGTGATTAGACGGCCGCTTTGCCGCTGCACAGACGGCACACTTGAGCAGAGCTTTGCAGGTCGCCGCTTTGTGCCCCTCGGCGCCGCATCGGTAGCATAGCCCGCTGCGGTCACAATCGGAGGAGCAGCACTACACGGGGTGTCCGATCCCCATGCAGCGGAAGCATCGGCTGTTGATCACGTAGCCGGATAGTGGCGGAGCTCCAGCCCAACGTTATACATTTGCCCTTTTCAAGGCGCCTCGCCGCCTCTACGGGGACCGAGGCAAAAGCAGCCCCAGTTCCGCGGGCCCCCGTATGGATTTTGCCCACCTTGATTTGGTGGGCAGGGCAGTCCCCTGCCTTGGCGAGGGCCTGAACCAGCACCTCCGTCGTCACCGCATCATCGATGCCGATGACTCGGATGTCTGCGGTTTTAATGGGACGCGTCACTTTCGCTGCGTCCCCCAGAGCCACCCCCATTCTGGCGGCAAGCGTGTCTGCTTGCGCCGGGGTGGTCTCTTTCGGGAGCTCGATTATTCAAGACCCCGTTATGCCGGTTCTGAACTTAGCTGGGCCAATGCCTAGCTCAGTCAGGCTGACCGCCGATTGGGCTTGGGCGAGTGCCTGCCCATACGTAAGGCCTTTCTTCACAGCCTCCGGCTGGAGGGCTACCACAACAGCTAGAGTTTTAGGGGCCCGTGGGAGCTTTTTGGCTTTAGGGCCCTTGGCTTGCGTTGACTTTGATGCCTTCTTCTTTTTTTTCTTCCGGTCCTTCTTATTGACCAGGACCCACTCGGGACCTGGTTCACCTGGCCCCTCCTCCGCATGAGGGGCTAGGACGGGCTTATAAGCCGGCGCCTTCTTTTTTTTTTTGCTTCCTGCGCCTTTTTGGGCAGGTTAGCCGGTGGGGTGAGGGTGGTGGTTGGCTGCTGCCCGGGCTCCGCATGCCGTGTTTTGTTTTGGCTTGCCCCTTTGGAGGAGGCCAACGGCGGTCTATGACTGCGGCCCTCCAGGAGCGGCCCATCAACTTCTAGTCCCTCCATACGGGCCGACACTACGGCCCCCACGTGTTGGAGCAGATCGCGGTGCAGGACCCCCATGGCCGGCATATGTTCTGCCCTAGAGACGTCATTCGATTCAGCTTCCATTGGCCGCTTCTGTTCCGCGGGCTCAAGCCGGTGCCCAAGGCCTGCAAGGAGCTGCTTCAGACCCTGCAGCTCCGCCATGCCTTTATTCATCTGGCCGCGGAGCCGTTTATTATCGGCCTTTAGCCTCGTCACCTCGGACAAGGCGGTGCACTTCGCGATTTCTTGGACCATTCCAAGGAGGCTATCCGTCCCCTCCGTGATATCCCGAGCACATGTTCCCTTCAGGTTGCCGGGTTTCTGCACCACTCTCAGAACGGCGTTCGCTTTATCCTCTGCTTTTTGGCAGAGGGCTTCAACAGAGGGCTTTGACTTGTAGCTCCCCTCGCTTGACGCCTTGGACGACCGGCGCCGAGGAGAGCTTCCACCCTCGATTGTAATGTCGGAGTTGGAATCCGACGTGTCATCCTGCATGCAGTTTGCATCCTTACGGGCCCGGGATGCACCCACGAAGTGGGCTCCACCTCCGCCCCGAGGGTTTTTGGTGATTCTGGGCACCTTGGGGGCCGCAGACGCCACATACATCTTTGGCTCGGCCTCCGTAGACTCGGGCTCCACCTCCGTCTCCCCACCAGTTTGTGGCAAACTGGTCTTCCCCTCGAACGACCTTTTCATCGACCGGGTAAGCACCCGGCTCTGCTCCGGCGCCGTACACGTGGACCAATCCCTAGGTCCAGAAACGTCCGGAAGACTTAAGGTCAATTTCCGATGGTTGCCGCGCTGCAGCGGGGGGGGGGGGGGGGATTTTTCTCTCTGCTACGGGCCCGTCCGCGGGCACAGGTGTTGACGGCCGCGGCGGTTTTTCCTTCGAGCTGCGACCTTTCCCCTTCAACGACGACGACGGGGTTTCGCGTCTGCAGCGAGTCAGAAGGGTCTTTTCCACCACCTCTTCTCAGCCGCATCACTCCTCGTTGGCCCTGAGAAGGGCCGTTGTGACACTTGGTGGCTCCCCCGCATACGTGAGCCAGCCCGTCGTCCCTAGGGACAACGGGGAGGGCTAGGACCCTCTCGGGGACAATCTGTTATTATCCAACTGACCATTTTTCCTATTTTAGGGGAATAGGTTCCCTGAACTCTACCTAACGCCTCGGTAACCAATTTAACACCGTGTGACCCGGGAATCACACGGCGCCGGTGGCCAACCGGAGCGCATAGGCCGCTTGTAGTCCATTTAACACTCTGTGGCCAAGCTACCCCAAAGCGCCCGTGGTCAGCGGGATCGCACGACAAACTCCAGCTTAGCATTCGGGACATTCTCATTACGATTTTCCCCCTTCCGGGCGGGGGGAGGCCTCCACCCTAAGGTGGCGGCCCCCGTTCCCGCTTCACGTGCGGGTTTACGGGTCGGCCGGAGGTGGCGCGGAGTTCGAGTTTATAGAGGTTTTCTTCCTCATGGCCGCTGCCCTCCGAAGAGAGTGGCAGCCCTCGGCGCCGCATAAGTGCGGGGTTGCGAGCTCTCCCCCAGCTCGGCTGCCGCTACCCGGGGTGCCCAGGACGCCAGCCGAGATCCCCACTGGGTAATTTTTTAGAGAGGTTTTCTTCCTCACAGCTCCCACCCCCCGAGAGAGATGGCGGCCCTCGACCCCGCACCATGTGCGAGGTTACGAGTTTGGCGTGGCAGATTACCCTCTTGTTGACAAGAAGAAGTGGGACCTGCCAATGCCTGTCTGGTTATGGTCCACGCCGGCCGAAGCCGGTACCTCCCATCCGCCACCCGAGAGGACGCGCCCGATAGCAGAACCAGACACTGCCACTGGGAGTTCCGTCCTCCTGCATACTGGGGCTACTCTGTTGTGCTAAGCCAATTTTCTTCAGCGTCCTCCTCTTGGGACGTCCTTCCGCTATGGCGTCGTTCGGAGACACCAATGTCTTGCATACTGAACACTAATTAAGCCTAAAAACACCACAAATAACACATAAAAGTCGTCCTATCGTTATAAAACTGTAAAACAGATGAGATCTGAAGCCTTCAGGCGCTTTTCAGCCGCACTGAAAACGACTTAGTAATATAATTATATTAAACCAAATTATATAATTATATGTATAAAATTTTGAGCGTTCTGTATCGAACTCCCCATTTCGACGCGGGAACTCTCGAAATCTTGCCGAAACGGTTCGAGGCGCTTTCGCCGATAATTTTCGCATGCGGCAAGTAGGACCTAGCCTCATCTAAGGTCACACCCAAAACTCTAGTCTGTGTGACGCTCGTTATTGACGCTCCCTCAAGTTTTAAAATCGGTGACCGTTTGAACCTACCTTTATAAGTCATTGTTAGGCTTTTACCCCGGGAAAAACTGAGGTGATTACGCCTACCCCAATCAGCAATTAAACCCAACATGAGCGAGGACTTTCTTTCGATATCGGCACGCGAGGAAGCCTCAACCACCACAATAGTCACGTCGTCGGCATACGCCATAACGTGAACACCTTCCGGTCGCGGCAGCAGCAGGAGGTCATTGAGAAGGAGGTTCCATAGTGTCGGGCCCAAGACTGATCCCTGTGGACACCCCATAGTGCAATGCTTCCATGTTGTTTGGTTGCCCACAACCTAACAACTTTGCCTAACCGGATGAGCTAATCCCGCAGTGGCATAGTGCACTCCAAGATATAAAGGTAGTGCCTACCTCCTTTTTCAGGGCCACCTTGCACGATTTCTTAACCTTATCTGGGGACCATTCCGGATCGCCGGACAGATTGACCTTCTGCAGATCGTGTAAAAAGTCCTCCTCGGATATATCCGACCTTAAGAATCTAAGCGCGATCCTCGGCAGACGAGTTTTGGGGTCCGCTGCTTTGAGTGATGGTGGTGCAGCTGCCTTGAGTTTCTGCGCAGCCTCCAAATTAGCGGTCCGAACCACGACGCCTGACTTGTCCACCATTCGTACACTTTGGATCCTAATGCCTTCAGTTCCTGGCTTAATGGCGTGGCGTTTGGTGTCCTCCGATGACTTCAGGGACTCAACAGCCAGGTAGAAAATGACCGCCGGACCTTGGGGTTGGACAGGGATGGGGGCCTTACCACGTGGGAGTTTTAGCATATTAGCATACGAGGGAACCTGCGGCAATGAGGGCTGCGGTGCGCTAACACACGCCGACTGTTTTAGGATCTCGATTTCCTTAGCGGCGACCTGTAGCTTAGCAGCATTGGCCTGGTGCTCTGCATCTCCAAGGCTCTAAGGCAGCGACGGCGGCGAGTATGTCCTGCGAGTGCGAGGCAACGGTACCTTTGTCGGTCATGTTCAGTTTATTGGCCGCGTTGGTAATGGAGCCAATGCCTTTCAGCGCCTTGTGCACCATGTCCAGCAACTGCAACTTATCGAGGGAGGCAAGGCCCCCCTGGGTGGAGGGATCGGGAGTAGGATCCGGTGTCCTTGGGGCGGATGGGTGGGACGGTGGGACCACCATCTCTAGTCTAGTCCAGTGACACCGCACCTCGTGACGGTATACGCCTCCTGTCTGCACCTTCTCTCGTTATGCCCGTATGTCGAGCACTTGTGGCATATTACGGCCGCGGTGAAATTTTCCACCCTGCAGACATCCCATCACAGTCGACCTTTTTCTATGAGCGCTTTTTGCAACTTTGCGCTGCACGCCATCACCAAGCACGAGCGTGACCCCCAACTCTGCTCTTACGGAACGCAAGCTTGCACCCTTAGTTTTGTCGACGTTCCATTCTCTATCCGTCTCAAAAATTTTCTACTTTTTCGTCACAAATGTTATGTTATCATAAAAACTATCAAACACCCCAAATTGGCACGACCGTCGCATTTTCTTAGTTTTAATTTATGTACCTATTTATCTTTATTATTTGCTTACAGTAGGACTACGGACGGTTTAAGTTAATTATTAGGGTAATATAATAAAATGGTAGGAAAGTCAAAACTGTACATTGAATATTTTTTTAAAAGAATATTTGGGGTGTGATCTACAATCGATACCGAAGCCAAAAATATAGTTTTTAGAATTTTCGTCTGTTTGTCTTTCGTATGTATGTCCGGGATAAACTCAAAAAGTACTGCATGGTTTTACTTCAAATTTGGCACGAATATTATTAAGAAGTCGGGTCAACATATACGCTGCATATTATCACGAAACTCCACTACTAAGGGGGTAATACGGGGGTTGGAAGTTTGTATAAAAGTCCTATGTTTTTGTAGTTTAATAGTAGAAATTGAACATGTACGCTCTGTAGATGGTGTAGATGTGTACTAATAATGTATCTTTAGAAATAAACCCTCTTTTGGGGTCAAAAAATATGTGCAAATAACTAACTCCACGCGTACGAAGTCGCGGGCGGCCGCTAGTTAAGTATAATCTTATTAATTTAATGTTTTATAAAGATGATGATTTACTTTTATTTGTTTGAAGGTTTATCTTACAGTTATGTATAGTGTTGCCAACCCTACTATATATAGTATCGTATCAAATACTACATATATCTCTAAAACAAATATAGTCGGCGTAACTACTATATGTGTATTTTGCTTGAAGCAGACTTTTGCCAATAAAAGCTTTCTTAAAAATAAAAACTGAATTATTAAGGTATAAAGAAGCAAAAATATACTCATTTTAAAAATAAAATAAATATTTTTAACACATACCTACTATATTTTTTTCCATTTTTTTGCCTTGCCTATATATATTTTTAGAGGTAACAGCTCCGAAAATACTTTATTTGATAGAAAAAGAAGTTGGTAACGCTGGTTATGTACCTATTATGCAAATAGTCTACTATAAGTTTAGGTTTAGTTGTTATTTATGTACAAGTCAGGATATAAAGCATATTAAATGTATAATGTTAATTCTAGAAAAACGGTTTTAAAGATACGTGCTAACAGAATATACAAGTAGGAAATAGATATACATCTTTATATATATAATTCTTCTGTGAGTGTGTATGTCACTGAACTTCTCTTAAACGACTGGACCGATTTTGATGAAATTTTTTGTGTGTGTTCAAGGGGATCTGAGAATGGTTTAGATTCACAAAGACATGTAGACAGGACAACGTCTGTCGGGTCCGCTAGTACACTATAATATGTAATTGAATCATTACAAAAGCCAGTAAGTGTCATAATTATTGCAATTGTATTTTAAATATTATAATTTGTTATAATAGTGGTAAATACACTATCTTCTTCCCAGACCATTCCCCAATCCCAATCCCTCATTCCTGACCTGAAGTTCCACCTTCCTCCATGATACTCGAGTTCCACAACACCAAACCCAAGGCACTTCCTCATCAGGTGGGGACTGATGAACTATTCGTGGCAACTTCAGGTATGACGATGCTTTAAAAATATTTCTTGTGACGGGTAGGCTTAGGCATTTTTAAACAGATAGAATTTATTTAAATAAATTGTGTATCAGTGCTATGACTGTTACCCAACTCTATTTCTCTTTCTAATATTGTCCGTCCGTCTGTCAGCTGGCTGCTGTATCTCATGAACCGTAATAGGGAGATAGTTGAAATTACTCTCTCTACAACAATAACCCCCCCCCCCCCCCCCCAGCAAGAAATGTTCCACGCACGTTTAACCTAGAACGGTAGTAAGAAACCATAATTGAGCGAGTCCAGCTCACACTTCACAATGTTCTAATGTCATTTACAAAATTTTGGAATAATTGTCGGCAGCGGTGATTCCGGCCCCATACGACCTGAACACCTTCAAACAAAAGCTCCTTCCACAAAGGCCGGCGACTCATCTGTGACGCTTCTGCTGTTGGAGATGTCCATGGCGAGGGGTACAGTAAGTCATCAGGTGAGCCTTTGTGTCCTATCACATGAACAACTTACTAATATTACGTTCACATCTATAGCTGAAGCTTGTTTGATCGTTTGTTTATTTAGTTGGACGGACGCGCTTATCTCAGATACTACTGGGCCGATTTGAAAATTCTTTTTTTGTTGGATAGTGCATTTATCGAGGAAGGCTAAACTTATCTTAAACTTAACGGCTATATAACATCATTAGAAGCAGATCATCCATGAAGAATGTTGCGAAAACGGGTCAAACATATTCCATATGTGAGAGCTTGCGTTGCGTTCGCTGCATAAATGGTTAAAATTACACAAAAAATATGGATTATAATGGAATTTTTCTCCTTTAAAATTTCTTTAAAAAAAGTCCCCGACAGCACACATAGGGGTATAAGAATAGAGTAGGGGAGATATAGACTCTACTACAAGTGGAAGTGTCCCTCTAATAGAAAGAGAGGAAAGATGAGAGACCGCCAGCTTTCCCTCTCTAATCGCGCATGCGCATTGGCGACCGTAAGCATCTTACTATTTCGATGTGATGCCATTGGATGCCATGCGTCACAAGAGAGAGATAGTTAGCTGTCTCTCATCTTCTTTCTCTTTCTACTAGACGGACACTTTTAGAGCCGCCATCCCCACTCTACTCTTATACCTCTGTGGCAGCACATGTCCATCTTTTAAACTTGAGTCACTATAGTCTTTTTCCTCAAAATCTCATTTATCGACTGTTAGCCGGTTCAGCTAGTGATTACGAATCAATATCGAGTTCTAACATTTCGCAATAAGCCATTTGAACATTATGTTCTAAAATCAAATCAAATAGCGCGCGCTTTCGCGACTTCCTGTTACACACTTCTGTCCCATTTCACGAAATCACTCCCACAAATTGCAGGAAAGCGAGGGGAAAGATGTTACACATCAATAACACATATACATATCAGTTATGTACGAGCATATCGCACCTCTGGTGCGACACTGTCACTTATGGAAAAACAGTTTTTTTTCAGGATGAGCGTTTAAAACTTTAATATCCCAAAACATACAATATTAAAGATTTTTACGTGATGAAAAGCTTATACAGCTTAGCTATTCATCTTAAAAAATAAAATAAAAAAAAAACTTTAAATATTGTATGTTTTGGGATGTTAAAGTTTTAAATTCTTCTCCTGAAAAATGATTTTTTGCATAAGTGACAGTGTCGCACCGGTATTATGATATTTTTAAGCTATTGCATAGATTTTATCGCGGACTTTGAGCGCGGCAACCGAATTAAAAAAAAGCCGTAACGAAAATAACCTGACAACAGTGCATATGAACACAATTTTCCCCTTTCCACTATCGATCGAAACGGCGCAGTGTGTTAAATTTTTACAACGCGACTAACGTTCGACGCATCACCGCGGTCATCGGTTCAAATCCCGCACTCGCATTTTATATTTATATTGTTATTTTTTTCCTTTTTTTATATTTGGTTTAGACCCAAGCACCTGTTCTTATTTTTATTAGTCTCCCTTTTATTTAAACTTAATAATTATAATTTAAATTTTTGGACTAAAGATGGTAAATGGTCCACGAGCTCCATAGTCGTGGAAGTTTTTTGGCGCCGGGTAATGCTGTTGTTTGCTGTGCTTGCCCAATATAATATCATAAGGTCTGCCTCGCTATTTATTAATATCAAAGAAAAAACTTGAATTGATATCAAAGAAAAAAAATACTGCATAAAAAAAAATATAATTGCATAAGTTGATAAATATGTAATGCTATGCAATAGCTTTACCGCGGCAGTCCTTGAGTGCCACACGTATTTTTTTTATACTAAAAGGAATTGTAATTATGTTGTCCTGTTAAAATTAGTTTTTTGGATATCCTGCGGGATTTGAAAATACGAAAAACATATTTTCGGATGAAAACTAGCCTTTGTCTCGGTCTAATAAACTATACATAAGTATTTGTGCCGAATTCCATCTAAATCCGTTGAGCCATTTTTGCGTGATTGAGTAAGTTTTATTGCTTATTTATGCCTTTTGCTATTATATACAGGTTGTCATTGTTAGCCACCACAGAACGCACAGAAGACATTTGTCCCGCCAGCACCACGGAGACCGCACCACATCCCGACCCCACGAAGCATGGACCTCGTCCACACCAGCTGTCTGTCTGGCTCTAGTCAACACCAGGTGAGGTCATCATAGACGCGGTGTAGTCCCACAACGGGTTTCTCGCGGTTCCGCACTAAACAGCGTAGAGGGTATTCGCAGGGTTTTTTTTACCCGACTG